TTTGTTTTTGTCCGTGTTTGACTTGACTATAAGCAAATTACACAATCAGAGAAATGCATTTAGCATGTCAATACATTGGGCTGTATCCATGATTGTTTTAAAGTTAGATATTTATCAAAGTCTGCAGATTTTTGCCTATTTTACCCTAATATTGATAGTATAAGCATGTGCTGCTCCATGACAAGAGCATCACTGAAGTTACTTCATAAAGCTCGTCACAGATCTACAGAAGACTTTATACTGTTTTATCCAATGACTTTTGCAAAACAAAACACTTTTTAATGCCAAATAAAGTGACATCTGTGATTGAAATCAGTGTCTTTAATAGAAAGACCTTTACCACTGCTAAAGTTACCGACACGTCCGCTCTTTTGTTACTGGGAAATGTGTGGGTGAGTTTTGATTTAAAGATGTTTAGGCTGGTTCTCCACGTTTTAGCGCCAGGATTTAGTGTTTCTCCTCCATGATTTCTGTCCTGTGCAAAAGATGTGGGCGGGTGATTCCATATTTTCCAACAGCTTTGAAGGAATCAGGCATAAAATAAAGACAAAAGTTGTAAAGCTGGAGTCTGTAAGCAACTGATTACATTACAGCTGCAGAAAACACAACTGAACAGATGTTAAAGAGTGAGGATGGTTGGGAAACCACTGCACATGGCATCCGTTTTCTGAAATCATAGCTGCAGCACAACTTTTAATGAACACAACTTGGTTTCAGCTTTTTAATTTCCAATCCCAAACACAAGAACAATGACTTGGCTGGGGGAATGTGGAGCACTCCAATAGCTCCACAGATTACTGAACTAAACTCAGCCTTGCCAGAAGCAACAATGATGTGAAGTAAAGGACTTTACACGGTGCATCTGCACAAAAGGCTTTAAGAACAAAGCATGATGGCTTGCTTTATTGGAGCTCAGTACAAAAAAATTACATATTCACGTCACAGGTCTATTGAAAAACACAGCACTATACAAAAAACTGTTTCACAAAGAAAACTGCCTTTTTGGAATGAAGCAAATACAATTTCAAGTAGTAGTGGCATGTTCTTTCTTTCTTTACCATCTATACATAGAGCTCTATGTACATTTAAAAACACAGGAGATAACCAGTCTTGGATAACAGTTTAAAATGTATTTACAGTCAGTCACTATCATTTACACAACATGTACTCAGTGTCCTGAAGGAGGCATAAAGGACTTTGAAAACCTCATCAAGTCATTTCCCGTTAGTGTCTGAATTTAAATCCTAGAAATACTTTAGTACTGATTGTTCAAGCATAGAAACGGTCACCACTGATTGAACTGCTGCGTCTGTCACGATAAAAGAGCCAGTAGACCTAATTCAGACGGGACCAGAAGTACAATTTATCAGCATACTGGAGTTTCATGTTGCACGTCACTACATTTGAGCTGAATATTTCTGACTGTGATTATCTGAGGTTTGTACAAAACGCGTCCAGCTTCTAGATTCTTAGTTCCACCGCCAGCACACCTTAATGAATACAGAGCATCAATAACAGTTACCATCTATCGGATGATGTTATTAATGTGCTAAGCTGGTGTGTGGTTCAGGACGAGAGGACATAAAACAACATTTCACAGCTGTTTCTTTAAGGCGGATGTCCCTGAAAACAGGCCACCACAGTACCTTTGGCAACACATGAGGAATGACAAAAAACCTAAACTGAACAAGAATTCAATCATATTTTTTAAGATTCAGACACTTTTATGAACGAGATGACAGCAGTCACCTGTTCCTGAAATTCACCAAATACAAGATAGACTCTTGTACGGACAGTGCATATCAGAGACTATGACGACCTACACGACCACAAAAACATGTTGCAGCTGCATTTTTTTCAAAATACGTCATCTTAGTTTCCCCCAAAAAATAAGTCCATGAGGTTTCATTTCTTTTACTACGTTCGAACGTGAGCTGAGGTTGTTGTAGAAGGCTGCAAAACACCTGAAATGAAAAAAACCAACGTAACGAAGTCCTGAGGAAAGTCAAGTCATGTTCCAGTGGTTTCAGAGCCGAGTCCTGCTTTATTGGAGGCATTTTATTGCTCCATGCCTGTAAACTTGTAAAAGAAATGTAACGTAATAGAAAGAAGTTTCTAGGAAATTTATATTTACAGATTTGTTTTCCCTTGCTTGTCCTTAGGCTCAAAGTCTCTTCTGACAAATGACCAGTGCAGACTGACAGGAGTGAGAAAGGTTGAGAACAAATGAAAAGTGCTGGAGGTTAACAACTGGTGGTTGGTGAAGAGCCCGACGTCGCTCAAATAACCGCCGTCTATAGACTCAGAAAGCCTGCGCTGGCAGAAAACTCTTCTTCCACGTCCTCGTCCTCTCTTCCCACCTCTCCGCCGCTATGCGCCGCCACGTTCTTCCTCTTCACCTGTTTGCTGGAGGATCCTCGGGGCCTCTGCATGGGCACTAAAAGGCGGAAGCCTGGCTGGGCGTTAGCTGAGGCTGCACCCAGGGAAGTGGTAAAGGACTTGAATGTACAAGGCATGAGGGAGGAGGAGCATGTGGATGAGGGACTACCACTCTGGACGGAGGAGTATCCTGAACTGTGGAGGTCTGTAGAGAAGGAGACAGGCTCCTGGCCTTGGCCGTCCTTGTTCGTCTCTCCGTCTGCTTCACAGAAGCTGTCTTCATCGCTGGACAGAGCTCGGCAGTGCTCCAGCCTTTTGTTTGCATCAGTCAGCGGATGCAGTGTGATGGATATCATGGAGGCTGTGGAGAGAGAAAAACTGGCAGTAAATACAAAGGAACACACATAAGGATCGTTTTGTACAACATCTAGATAAACTACAAATCAATAGACACTCTGTACAGCTGATGGCGTCCCTTCACACTATGCCTTCATTTATATGCCAGTTTATTATAGTGGGCATTGAACTGCTGAGTCATGTCTAGTCACAGTGTCTGACTGACAGAAGGACTCGTGCATCTTCCTCCTCCACATACAGATGAGTTCACACAGGAGTTAATGTGCCTCTCCTCCTCTTTCTCATACTCACAATCTTCATCTTTCTCTTCCTCGCTCTCTTCCTCTCTGTCCCCCTCATAACCAGAACAGGAAGTGTCCAGACTCCAGTCCAGGATTTCACCCAGCAGTGTCTCCTCCTGATTGGACAGTTCTGCAGTGGGCGTGGCCACAAAGCTGCCCCTGTGATGCTGCATGGTGTCCTCACGTCTCCTGGAGAGAGAGTGGACAAGCAGAAGGTTACAGTGAGTCACAGAGCAGCTCACTGACGCAACAAACAATCAGAGGAGGCCAGTGGTCATTTCTGTCGGCGAGTTGTTTCAGAATTGTAATATTTCAGTTTGATCCTATTAAAACCAAGGTTCTATTGATTTTATGTACAGTTTGTGCAAATGTGTTGCTGGGAGCTACAGTCTGTGACTCTGGTTCTGCTCCTGTGTTGTATTGCAGCTTTAACAAGGTTGTTTCTTCACCTGCTGCAGTCAATACAGTTATCAGAAATCATTACTCTGCTTGTGCAGGGTTCAATGAACATCTCTACTGCCGTGGACTGATCTAATATAAATACTGCAGGATACCAGAGTCACACTAACAGAAAATAAATGCCACATTCATGTTCATTTTACATAATGAACAACATAATTTTAACAAATTGCTCAGGTTAAAGTAAAATTGAAGCCATGCTCACAAAAAGACCCACAAGCTAATAACATAATGTCCCTCTGCACAGTTAAAGCTCATGGTAAAAAGGAGAGCACAAGTCCTGACAGTTGAAATGGCTAAACAATGTTCTATTTAAATGTTTTTGAGTGCTGGTAACTGGCGTACCTTTTACTGGTGCTTGATGGTGAAGCCAGGAAGGTGTGGAGGTCTGCTGGCTGACCAGTGGGGCTGGGAGGCTCCATCTGAGGCTCCACCTCAGGAATCTCCAAGATCTGACAGAGCTCTTTAAAATCCATCACCTGGTGGAGGCCAGGAAGTAAAATGAATGACCAGTTAGAGTCTGAAATTCAATGAACAAAAAAAAAAAAGCTACAAAACCTCACAGTGATTCTTTTCTAAACTATTTTAAAATAACACTCGTACCTTGTCTTTGCTGATTTGCTGGTAGGCCTCATCTTCAAACCGCTGCTTAACGCCGGTCAGAGACACGTGTCTGTAATCTTTGGGAACATCTTGACTGAAGCTGGAGAGGGAAAAAAAACAAAAACAAACGACTGACTTTCATCCACTTTGCTGGCTGCATCACTGTAATCAGCTCTTGAGGACAAATCTCGTTACTCATCCATTTGAGGATTAAAGTTTGTCGATAGGATGCTCACCTATGACAGTGACTCACGTTTCTGTGACTCAGCTGTTGAGTCACTGATGGGAACTCTCGGACACCCTCCACATCTACTCTCTAAATGCCTCCCACTGTCTTTATGACTCTGCAGCTCTCTGTGCTTCACGTTTCCTTTAAAACCCTAATGGCCATCCATTTACTTGGCCACCAGATGTTGTAAACAATCTTACATCTAATCAATGCGCCTGTATGTGCACGCTGAAACAGCCGGACACATCACCAATCAATTCTTGTTATCTCTCGTCACGGAGGAAGTACGCTGAGGTCGTATATGAGCCACAGCACAGCAACAAATCCGAAAATGGGACAGAAATGTTTTTCATTTTCCAAAGCTTCTGGGAATTATACAAGTGTATATGCAGTATGTGATTCTCCTTCCAGAATGTAAGATTTCAGAAGCTGCTGTGCGGTAAATAAATGGCTTTACGTATACAAAAGATAATCAGTATTTTCCCCAAACAGCTATGAGTTATGAGACACAGCTGGTGTCTTCACTGGTTCACAGACAGCATGTCAGTGACTTGACATCAGGCTCATTGCTACTGAAGCTGCAACATGAATAAATGATGTCATATGATCAACTTGTTGCTCATCACTGTTGTCAGACAACTGAACAGCAGAAGTACTTGTGCGTATTTGCCAAGTTCTTTTCACAACCTGTTTTATTGGTTAGAGTTTCAATTTCCTAATATGAGGGAAATAAAACAACATAGAAACAAAAAGAGGGAAAAACTTCCTGTAATGGCAACTGGCTTTCCTATGAACTACATGGATGACAACTTGGGGCAACTTTTGATCTACAGTTAGCCAACAAGCAGGTATACCTCCTAAAAATATAACAATAACTCACAGGATAATAGATAGTACAAGTCAACAGCAAAAAATACACACAATCTCTCTTTGCTGAACAACTGGGAAGTTAGATAATGTGAAGCCAAGATGAGGGGATTTAACTGCTTGGCTACCAAACACTGAGAAACTTACCACTTGACATAGAGCAGCACAGAAAGAGGAACCAGGTCCTGCTTGGAAAATCCAGTGTAGTCAGCCAACGTGGTGGGCCAGAGGGGAACTGCAAGAGGAGAACATAAACGTTACACTGAACCAAGGCTGTAAATACTGTTTGTTTGAAAAGATTGTTTGCATGTGTTGCATAAGTGTGTGTTGGTGAGTGTTGTTACCATAGTGATGTAGTGCACGTGTCAGCAGTAGTGCAGCACAGGCGAGTTTGGCTGGTGGAGGTGAAGCGAGAGCCGAGTAGAGCAGCGACAGCTCACAGATGTAGCTGAACAGGTGAGCGGTTCGTCTCTCCAGTGGGAGCAGAGAGAGCAGCACCTCGCCGTAGTCCAGCAGAGTGGGGCTCTGATGGGGAGGAAGAGCTTCACGTCACTCTTTGCACTGATGATAAAATCACCTCTACACATCATAAAGGACAGTCTTCACTCACCCTGATCTTCCCCCGCAGCACAGAGACAACCTCTCCCATCATTCGAACCAGGTCTTCATATTTGTAGGTGTTGTCTGTGAGCCAAACGGCTTCACGTATGGTCAAGATCTCTTTACTGATATACCTAAAAATAAATGAAACAAACATTGTCATAAAAGCTCAGGAAGATAGTTTAAGCTACAACTGCAGACACATATCTGGATCACTAGTTTATCTTAAAAAACATTTAAACCAACATCAAATATTCTCAAAAAATATTAAAATAAAGCCAAGGATGACAAGGATTTTAGCACTACACAGGCCGATAATAACATTTGTCTAATTCAGAGTCCAGAGAGAGCATCCTCACCGAGTGCAAACCACCATGCAGGCGATTCCCAGCAGCTGAAGGCGAGCTTTGGGAACGGAGCGCCGAGCCAAGTAGCGGTCGACGCAACCCACGGTCACATGCAGCGTCAGACTGGAGAAGTCCTTCATGGTGGTCACCTCCACGAGCCAGTCAACCAGAATGTACCTGGAGACGCAGGGAGACACGTTTATTCATTTATTTTATCTAAGGACATTGCTCATTAATAAACAGAACTGTAAATGCATCTTTCATCTGCAGTCATGTGTTACAGATACAGAATACTAGATTGACAAAACTGCAAATCATGTGCATGAAAATAAAAACAAAAGTGATCAAGGTTATATTTAGAAAAATGCTATTAGTCTACATGAGGGGGATTGCACTCAAATAAGATGAGAAAAATCAGCCATAATAGTCAAATTACATCTTGAACTCTGAAGACTCTGCTGTCCGAACAACCTTTGACTGGCACATCTGTGTTTCATTGACTCTTTAGTATCGTCATTAAAGAAAGCCAAGATGATCCAGTCGTGAATCATCGCAATGCTAACAGGAACACTTGATTGTCTGGATTGACGTTATTCACCAGCAGACTGCAGTCGTGCCAGTAGCGTTCCTGACTAACCTCATGGTGTCTTTAATGCCTCGCCGGAGGATGTTCTGAGCACAGTGTTGAGATGCTGGATTGGGGGAAGTGAAGAGCTGAGACACCAAGTCAGAGCAGGCCTTGGACTCCAAACCCAGTGGATTCCCGCTGCTGCACACTTTGGCCAGAGACAACTGGGGAAACAAGAGAGAAAATTAATGCTTCAGAAAGGCTTCAAATGGTTTGACAGCTTGATGGACTGAGCTACCCTAAAAAGACAACAATAAGAATGAGTACGGCTGTAGCTTGCTGCTGGAATACCAGATTCAGATGAGTCATAGTTTGGTGACTCAGCTGGTGATAAAAAACAACAAACTGTCGAGCCCTCTTGACACTGACTGGTAACAGTTCAATAAAAACAACGCTGGACGAATGGAGGAGTGAGAAATGAAAAAGAAAAATCAAATAGAGACAGAAAAGATGTCAAAAGACAAACACTGAGGGAGAAAAAATCTGCACACTGACAAAAAAAAACAAAAAAACAAAACAGTCATCACAAGACTAAACATGCAGAAGAACACATTGAACCAGTTAATTTGTCCTCAAACACACCTGTGCCTCCCAGCATCCTTTGCCAGCGTAGTCCCTGAGGGTTCGTACACACTGGAGGTACCTTCCTGGATCTGCCATCTGAAATCAAACAAACCAATTATCTCACATTTGACCTCATTTGTCACTTGATTTACGCCTTTTTTTCTACATTTAATAAGATATTTATTGGTTTAGCTGTTTACAAACAACTGTGTCCATGTTTGAGTTTGTAAAGAAGAAAAAGCTCCGTCAGCAAGGTCATGTTTTCAGGACAGAAATGCTAAACGTGACAATCAGACTCACGGCAGCTTTACGCCGATGCTCCCACAGCAGGTATGAGCTCTGCAGACATCCAGCCTGCGACGACTCCTCCAGCAGAGTTACAGCATCTGAGCGTCTTTCATCCTCCTGGAAACATCGACAGAAATACAGAACTGAAAAAAATGTTCTGTTCCTACGCTGCTGAGAAAGCAGTCAAATTACACATCTCAGCTGCACCCTGTGTGATGGCTCATGTCATGTGATCCTGGTTTGCTTTAGTTTTAAATAACAAAGGGCATTGAGGGTCTGTGAATAAGAGGGAGGGAACTATAAGGTAATGACTTTAGTTTCTGCTACTGACGAGTCTGAGAGCAGCACACAGATTTACATTTTGATGAGAGGCCAATAGAAACTGGGCGACCGCACCCAGAAAGTCAGATTCAGCCTCATTGTCACACTCACTTCAAACAGCTGCAACACTCTGGCCAAACAGTGCAACAAAGGCCCCCTCTTCTCCTGCAGAGAAAGCAGAAAAAATAAAACATGAACACTTGACATATTTAACATTTTACTCCTTTAGAGCAATCTAGACCTAAACATTTCTCACTTTCAAGAAAATATCCATGTGGGTGTAAATGTAATGAACTGTGAATATAAATTTAAGTCCAGGTAGCTGTTTACATCTGTCCACTGAGCCATATCAGAAGCTCAGCCTTGTTTGGAGCTTTATTTAGGGAGAAAACAGGGACAGAGTTGCCAGAAAATGTGTTGTTGTAGATTTTTCTTGAATGGTGACCCCCAAGTAAGAATCTGCCTAATTTAGCTAAACTATTCCCATCAAAACTTTCCAATAACGACTAAAGTATCATCAGCTTTTATCAAAAGTAGACCAAGCTTGATTCTATTATCAAAGCACATTTGTCTTTCCTCTAGCAAAACCTACCACATTGTCATCACACTCAGCCTTGAGATGGTCGAACACCACGGCCTTGCAGCAGCTGCCGGTGGGCGACCATGGCGGACGGATGAACACCCAGATGAAGGGATCGGCTGTGGGTGAGCGTAGGCTCTCTGCCAGGCTGAAGAAGTGGGAGGCCTTTCGTCCACATACATCCGCTCGCCCCTCATCGCTCAACAACGCTGGATGCAACAGAGAAGACACAAATGAGGAACCAAACTAACTTACTGCATTCGTCAAGAGTTTTGCATGTCCCTAACCAGCATAGTCACCGAAGCAAATAGCATAAGGGAGGAAAAACTGTTAAACTTACGTCCTTCATTGTACAAATAAGCAATCCCAAGCTTCACGGCAGCTTCAAAATTCCCTTTTCCAGCAGCTCTGACGGGAGAGAGAAATTTACGATAAACACCCATACAGACAAAGAACAACACATTTCAGTACTGGACAAAAGTACCCGTACCTTTCAAACAGCCATAGGGAGTTGGGGGATGGCCAAGTGTCCCTGAAACCAACCCTGGCCCACACACTGGAGTGGCTATCAACAATGTCCCGCAGCTGGGAGTGAACCTGGGACAGAGGCAAGAGACGTGTGACCGATCGAAGCAAGTGGTCACAAGATACTGAGGCAAAACAGACATGGGATGACACAGTGGGCACACAATTAGAGGTGGTGTGGTGTGTTTACTCACCGCTCGGACAGACAGAAGGTCCTCTGCAGAGAGACACTGCAGCACATACAGGACAATCTCTTCAGGTAGAGACAGCAAGGTGAGGGCTGGAGTTCGCTTACGGACCCGCTTCCTTGCTGGAACCGAGTAGCATTTTGAACAACGGCAGTGAACAGCTGAAAGAAGAAAAGATCACACAGCTCAGACATTTTGAAACTAGCAGTTTAGCTTCGTTTAGCACCCTTCTCATACTCCTTGCAATAAGGTACAATTTAGACACACAAAATCACTCAAAACATTTCACATCTCAGTGCAAAGCTGTGAAACTAATTCTCACATTAATACCAAACAAATATTTGCACTTGATTTAAAGCAGGCCAGGGGCTGGTTAGTGTCTGAGCAGACATCAGGGCGAAGGCTCCACATTCAAAATCACTAACGTAAGTGGTGGTCAGCTCGGTTGCATGTGAAAATGTTGAAATCAGAGTTAAGATGATGACCTGCAGGTAATACAACAATCATAGTACATCATATAATCATGTAGTAGAAGCAGTAACCGCCTTTACTGCGGTTCACTCAGTAGCTGAACTGGAAAAGTCAAATCAACTGAGCGCCCAAATTTCCCTCCTGTGGTCCACTGCGAGTGACGTTAACTTACAACGAGTTTTGGTGAACTTTAACATTATATTTCCGTTTCTAACTACCGCAGAAGGTTTCAGCAACACGAGGAGGCGTTTTTTATCTGCATAAATATTAACAACTAGAGTCAACGTTAGTCTAGCTTCCAGGAGGACTCCATGGCTACAGCAGCTAACGTTAGTGTTGGCTAGCAGCTAGTCACCAGCGCTAACTCTGTCGGAATGAGCCAGGCTCAGTAAGACGTGTTTTACATTAAGTCATTACTATATTTCTAGGAGAAAGAACAAGTTAGTAGAGTTACTTACCGCCCGCTTTCATTGCAAGAGCAGTGGTCTCCTCCGAAACAGCCGCAGATTCACCGAACAGCGATTTAAATGTCGCGGCAGCACAAGCTAATGTTACACACATACAAGCTAGCAAAAAAAAAACAACAATAGTTGGCGTTACAACACGGCGGTGTGTGTCTGTTCTGCTGCTGCAGCTCGTTAATGCCTAAACTAGTTGTAAGTTAGTACCTGAATTCGAATTCAAGCACGAGTCCTCACTTGATGGACCCGCCCCAAAGTTACTGTAGGACCGCCCGCGCTCACTGTTTAAACGCCACATTCACTCTCATTGGTGGATAGTGATGACACCCATCCCGCAAAAAGAAGCTCTTTGATTGGTCAGCGTGAATAACGGGCACGCTGATTGGTCAGATGTTATAAACTGTAAAATATCAGAAGCTCATTGGTGAGCGTAACGCCATTTCGAAGTACGCGCTTGGCAGTGGACGCACATGATTGGTTGACCTGATTCCGACGCACGTCCACAGGCCCTGCTTTTGCAGGGGGTTGTGGGAACTGTAGTCGAACAGGAAATACTGTTTAAAGGTACCATGTTTAAAGGGACGGGCGCAAAGTAGCGGCTCCAGTATGTGATTGTTTCTAACCCATAAGGAGTAGACAAAATGCTTAAAAACCTTTACAAATAAATTAAATAATTTGTGAAACACCTACAGTTGAAACTGGTCTGTGTTTTGTCCTCTGAGCATACTGAAATACCAAATGTGGGCTGAAACAGGAAATAAAAACGTTTGTTGAAATTGTGTTTATGCCACAAATGTGTATTTTTGTATCACAGCTGCAGTGTGGAAAGCTTTAAAAGAAGCGAGATTTGGTTCATTACTTCAGACATAATAAGAGCAAATGTTCTCAGCAGAATCCCATTCACCTGATTCAATCAATCAATCAATCAATCAATCAATCAATCAGGGCCTCAATCATAAGGCCTTTTCTTCTTAAAGTTTTTAGTTTTAATTCCAGTGTTTCCTTAGGGGGGTCCTCCACACTGGGGGCTGTGTGCGGTCTGCTACTGGGGTTTCTGTCTGCGGGTCCCTTCGGCCCGGCTGGTTGGGGGGCTCCTCACCTCGTTGTGGGGATCCCCCTGTCGTCCAGGTCGGGGGTCCGGGCGCTGGCGCCCCCAGTAGTCATGGTCTGCAACTCCTCCTGGTGTGGACGGCCCCAATGGTAGCGTTTCCCACAATCCGTCAGTGCCATGCCATGCCTCTTTTAGTCTCGTGGTGAGTGTGTGTGTCTGTGTGTGTGTCTGTGTGTGCGTCTGTGTGTGCGCGACTGCATTTGTTGTATGTGTATGTGTATGCATGGAGGGTGGGAAGGACGAGTTTACTTTATTTTTTAAATGTTGTAATGTTTTTAAATGTTGTAATGTTTTTAAATATTGTAATGTTTTTAAATGTTGTAAAGCACTTTGCGATTGTTGTTGTTGCACATGAAAAGTGCTATATAAATAAAAATTTGATTGATTGATTGATTGATAGCAATTGTAACACAACAGCCTTCATGGAGGAGAAAGTATTCCAAAGTTTGTCGCTGCTCATGGTCACTACAAAACTGTTGCCCCAGTAACAAACCCTGGTGACGAAGGACATTAAGGCATCAGTTAAGATAAGATCTGATTCTTGTAGATTATTCGTAGCAACTGGACTTGCTTGAGTTTCTTGAAGATGTTTCATCTCTCATCTGAGAGGCTTCATCAATTCTGAGTGACAGATACTTATATCCTTAAGGAGCCATTAACACCTGAGTTTCGGTTTCAAATGGGGGATGGGGGGTTTGTTGAACCGGTGCGATGCTGGAGAGGCTAAAGGTTAATCCGGAGAAGTCCAAAGTAAACCTCAGTTTTCATGATAAAAAAGTTAAGCACCAGAAATGAAACCTCTGGAGAACCAAACAGGATTAGTGACGTGTTCCTCGTAATGGAGCACAACAAGAAATCGTAACTTTGGTTCTTTTGTCCATCACACATGCAAAACCTATTAACTCATCGATATTTATGTGACTAAGCAGAGATGTGAGTGAATAAAGCAGCGGATTGGTTCCTCTGAAGCTGCAGCCTCTGAGGAAATGGCAGAATGATTAGGACCATTGTGTTGGTTTCCATTTAGAATAAATAGACTCTGAGCTGGTTGCTGGCCATAAAGCATCCGAGTACACTACCAGCTGTGATCATCTGTCCCCTTCAGGTTCTCTATTGATCTGCACATCATCTCATCACATACAATGGCCAGCAGTCAACATTATGTCCACCACTGAGTAGCTCCCTTATGAGGGACTGAAGTAAATGTAAGCTTTTCTTATGTACTCTCCATAAATTTTAGGTTAACATTTGTTGGTGTTCTTCTATAAACTAGACTGTGATGATAAATAAAGATATTCCCTCATGTTTTTTCTGCTTATCTGGGAACATTATTCTTGTTTTATTTTAGGAGGTGCAGTATGTTGAAGCGATCCGGTGGCTGAGTGACCTCAGACAGGGCAGAGGCTGTGACATCTTCAACTAGATGCACCGTTTCCATAGAAACCCCAGCCAATCTCAACCGCTTCCTCTGTAACACGAAGTGAGCAGTAATGGCTACGGAACAGAGATCAGATGGTGCGTTTAACCAAAATTGAAAATAACCAAAGCAATAAAACCATCCACAATGTTCCCACAAAACTGTGCGCTCTATCATTTTGGCTCCATTATTTCTTCATACAATTTTCCTGAAAATAAAGTCTCATTGCAGAGAACAGAGGCAGTTAAACAGATACACAACGTCTCCTGTTCATGAACATCCAGAAGAAATCAGCCTTCCGTTTCTGTTAAAGTGTTGTTATTCGGGATTTCTCACATCTCAGGGTTTCTTCTCATCGCATTTGTTCAAGGTTGCGTTTTAACATCATTTAGCTTTTGATTTAATCGGACAGTCTGTCCTGGCTATGTGATTTCTGCCCACACCTGTCTCCCACACAGCTGTTATAGTGTAACTCCATCCTGCTACTGAGGCTTTACCTGGAACTCATTGCAGGCCGCTGGCTAATTAAACACAGACAGATTTGTCTATTGCACAGATGCTGCCGATCGGGAATTTGAATAAAACATAAATAGAGCCGTCGGCCCCATTTGGTTCAAATCCAGACCTCATAATCTCACGTTGTGCTACCGGTCACATCTGTCTGGCTTTGCATATTAAACTCATGTCAGTTTTGTATAATTCAAAGTCTGACAACAGCCAAATAGTGCTGAATGTTTAGGTTTGAAGCCAAGTCCTGAAGATGCAGAGGCGGATCGGGTTTCCTGTAATCTGTGCACTTCCACCCATCTGCTTGTTACCCTGCTGGCCTCCCACCCTTCACTTAGACCTAAACACTTCTCCCTCCCAGCAGTCACCAGTGCCATGAAATGTTTTCACGCTTCACATAAAAGATAAGTTCCTGCAGAAAAGAGCAGTATTACTGTCATGTAGTTTCTCATCATGGTGAGGCCAGTTTGCTTGTTTTTGATTTTGCCAGTAGGTGGTGTCATTTATTCTGGTTCCTAGTGGCCGCTCTGTTTTCCTAACAACCAAAGCATCCACATGTCTCTGGGTATCTGAACCAGGCATCCAAGCTGGCAGCGCTGCACATGGCACTGAGTCTATATACAGCATCGAAATTTCCAGAGGAAGTTCAGGTGTCGCCGGCCAAAGATGTGTTTTAAGAAAAAGGCAAAGTGCAGTGACAATGATAATCTAAAGTGAAACTGTTCAAACTGGAGTCAAAACAGAGCTCTTCTATTGTTTACTCCCTGTGCACTCCCCATTTGTATTTTTAGCCCCGTCCAGATTCTTCCAGATCTGTCAGAACTGAGCTAAACGCTGCTATGTCTTCATAGTTTCACAAACAAGCTTTAAAAGATGTATTTAATAAAAGCTGAGGGGGGGTTCCTTCAACATATCAACCTTTATGTTAGAATATCACAGACAAAGCTGTTCACTTAACATTTATTTAATACAATACATACATAAACAATTAAAATGTACATATAGGTAGAAATATACAGTACAAATAAAAAAAAAGAAGAAAAAACTGTTGTATATACAGCACCAAATATTAGAGGGCACACAAACCAACATATTTTGTGTCACTCAGTGTGGTGACAAACAGCATAGGCAGACAGCATGGCTGTCATGTGTTAGAGGTAGACTTTCCCTTTAATATTTAGAAGGCAGCAGGGAAATCATTTCACATCTCTAACTAACTATTTCTGGTCAGTGTCAATATACTGGCACAATATAGCTTAAAATGAGCAAGAACAGCTATGAAACCAAATGTACTACATCGTCATTGTGTACTGTACACGTGAAAATTGCATCGAGACACAAATCAGCATTAGAGTAGAAGCGTCTGTACCTCACTTGTCTTGTTTTTTGAGGCTCTGTTTCCCCAGAATAAAGTCATCCATCACCCCTCTCGCTCCGTCTTTCTCTGGGCCACTAAACCTCCTTTTTTTCCACGTCTGACAGAAACAACATCAACAGAAGGAAGGAGGTTGTTCTCCTCCACGGCTCTTCTGACTGCATCCTTAGACACTCTGCAGTTAATGACCTTGTGAATAATTGAGCATCAGCCTTGTTCAGAACAGTTTAATTCTACATATGAAACATGTGGAAGCCCCATGAAGCCCACCTGCCCCATGTGGCCAAACAGATCTGAGGGCAGCAGAAACACAGTTAGGTGGCTGCTGTGTTGTCTTTGACAGAATCTAATGTAATGTAACTCTGGGGGCTTCTCTCTTTTTGTCTTTTTGTTCAGAAGATACCGCTGAGCAAGAAAAAGGCATGAATCACTTTATCAGCGCTGCCTGTCATGTTTATGCAGACCAATCTGTTAGTGCATGTTCTGCGAGTAGATCAGAAGACCTACTTCACTCCAAAACACTTGAAATGTTCACTGCTGCTTCCAGTGATGCAGAATAACACAGTTCTGTTCAGGACGGCCGATGCCAGTCAGACTGCAGCGGCGGCTCTGCACTCCCAGAGTGAAAGGAATGATTTGCCAGGTTGTGCTTTTGTCTTTACCTACATATTTATCCTCTTTTCATTTTAAACGAACAGTGGCACAGTCAACGTGCAAAACAAAACCTAAATGCACACTGAGTGGCAAAACGTCTGATCCACTGCATCTGCATGGAAGCAGGCACACAAATGCAGTCTTGCAATCGGTCTTTGGCATCATTTGTTAACTGCTACCACTGGATGTACAGGCACGTCCTCCTCACTAAGCACCACTAAACTGGTGGCCAGGATCAATGCAACAGTGATCAATACAGCAGGAAACGAGTACAAAGTCCTTCACATGGAGAGAAACAAGCTGCACCGCTTTCACTTCCTTTACATTCTGAACATTATATGACTGCGATTTGACTTTTTCATCTCATGTTACATTCTGTCACATAAAAGAGATGGTTTAAGAGCAGAATGCGATGATGCTGTCCATCTCATCCTGAGACCAGACACCAACCAAAGCACCTGTTCACAGATGTGGAGCTGAATTCAGCTACATTCACTCACTTTTTAGAGGGGAAACCCCGAGTGGCTCTGAGGCCGAACATTAGTCAGTATTCACTAGAGAACAGCCTCGTACCCTATTTTACCACTGACAGGGATTTACCACTGATTCTTCGTCAATATTCTTTCCACTAAGGAACAGAAAATGATGCAGTTTCTTTGGCACAGACAGAAAAAGACTACGTGAATGTTTGTGGACTGTGGAGATCACATTTAAGTGTATGTGTGTGTGTCTGGCTGCACACAACCCTGCTGGGCTACATCACAATGAGAAATGAGAGCGATGGAGTCAGAAACTGGGGATGTAGAAAGTCAGGGATGAGATGTATATGAGGAGTCCTGTTGGGTGAAGAGGCAGAGAAAGACCAAGGGGAAAATTCTCAGGAGTTCAGATGGAAACGGGGGAATGTGACAGAGCTGTTTTCCAGCGGGAGGGGCCACCGGATCAGTCAAAGTGTCCCTGCAGTGGCATGTCCCCTCGGCCAGTGTCCTTCAGTAATCCTGGCCTGCGTGGGGCACCTCAGCTCCACACTAGGGACCGGACACAAACGCTCACACGCTGATATGAAGGCAGTTGGTCAGAAAACCTCCCTCTTCTGTGAAGCTGAAGCTACAAAAGGTCTCTCAGAGCATGCTGCTCTTTAGAAGGATTTCTTTCTTGGCGTGGACATGGCTCTATGTGCAAACCTTTTGTTGTTTAGAAGTGAATTCCAAAGATCTCTCAGTTCACCTGAGGCCTGATTTGAGCACACAAACACCTTGCACTTCCCCGGCCGGTCCTCTCAGCCCTCTCAGCTCATCGTCCACACAGATGCCAGTAAGATCCTGCCGGACTCAAGTTCCACTCTCCCATTGCGTAAAAAAAGCCCCCAACACATTGCTGCAGTGTCACAGGACGAGCGAATGACGTTGGCGGCTGACGCGGGAGCGCTGCTCTTTGGGCTGGGGATCGGGTTGCCGTCTTTGGCCCACTTCTGGCCTCTTGGAGAGTCACCTGTCCTGGTGAGAGGAATGCTGTGACTGACGTGCCCAGTGACGCCAGCACTGACTCCAGCAGCAGCTCTGCATAGCGTGTTGGGTGTCTGAGCTCCACTGTAGCTGCTCGTGCATATGTCAGGCAGGACCGTCCGTGCCTGTAAATATGCATGCAGTGTGCAGTGCATGTATGAGTCTCTGCTCGGAGGTTGTTTTGACACTGGACACCTGCTGTCTGATGATAAAGAGCGTGTGAGACATTAGTGATTCCTCCTTGTCAATCCAGAAAACCTGGTCCAGACCTACAGACTAGACAGATATTCAGTTTCCTGTCTGTCTGTTCTTTGGCTCAGTGTGATTTCCTGACCCAAGTTATCTCCAGTATGAGCTGAGCCAGACTCTGTGGTAAAGAATAGAGGGGATTTATCACTGGCAGGTGAAGTGGCAGCTTTTTTAGCCAAACCTTGAGCTCCCAGTCAGTCCTGGCAAGTCTCTGTTCTCCAGTTCCTCTAAGTGCTTCACAGGGGACACTGCTCAGAAGTAAAGGAGCCTCCCTCCTTCTTTTTCCTTCGCTTCTTCTTGTGAACAGTCCAACAAGCGGTTGCCATCAGCAACAGTAGAAGACCCATGACCAGCAGCACCACCGACACCACTTTAGTCTGCGGCAGGTCATTGTAAGTGTAGGTCACCCCGGTTCCTGCCACTCCGATAACCAAAGAGATGATTCCAAAGGGAAAGATGCAGCGGTACCAGGACTTCTCCATGCCCCCGGTGGCCTGGGACAGACGCTCCAGAGAGGACAGCACCTCGGGCACTTTGGCCCCACCGGCCTCCAGGGACTGAGCCTCCAGCCCCGAGCCGGTCTGGGGCTGCGGCTGGCAGGCCAGGTGGCCCGTTGTACATCCCATTCTGACTGAGTGGAGTCGAGGACCCTTACTGGACCGGCAGCGTTGTCTTCTGGAATCCTACTGGTCAGCTGTGGCCTGGAGAAACAGAGGAGGGAGAAAGGAGAGGGAGGTCTGTATGAGACCGGAGAAATGGCTGGAGGTCGCCAGATGAAGCCTCTAAGTCAGCGCTGAAATCCACTCACACTTTTCCCGTCGCTGCCTCCCTCTCGGCCTGCTGGCTCTCTGGCAGCACATTGTACACTCTGCAGAACGTAGTGACGGAGGATATATAAAGAACAAGGGAGGGGAGGAGCTTAGGAAGAAAAACAGGGAAGTCCGAGGGCTGCAATTGGTCCTTTTTGGGGTGACATCAAACGCTGAAGCAGGGAGAAGAGGGAAGCACAGGAAGGGGGAGGGGAGAAGGTTTAACTGCTCCCTCTGTTCTTCGTGTCCCCATCACTGCCTCTTTTTGTTTCCTGCAGTATAAAATCCTCCCAGTGAGTCCACAGAAGCCTGCTGCTGACTGGAAATCCTCCTTCGTCTCCGTGTATTAGCTGATCAGAAGGGAAGCAGTCCTCATCCACTGTATCACCTCTGTGGGCCAGTTACACAGCAACGGTGATTTCATTCCCACCAGTTGTTGGATGAAACAGCAAACCTCCACATTGTTCCCTGTATGTGTATGCAGACACCTGGAAACATCAAATATACAATGAAAGCGTAAAAACACAATGAACGTGTTTGTACGTGGCAGAAACAGACTCGCGAAAAAGCCGCCTCTCCTTTCCCACCCACATGCTCTGCTGGTGCCAGCTCTTTCTGAATGGACCTCGTAGTTAATCCCCCAGCATGCTCCACTCTCTCTTCCATAAAAATAAAAATCAATCCAGACAGCTTTCTTCTTCCAGCTTGCGCATCTCACTCCTCCACATGTGAAAAGCTGTGAGGGTAGGATGAGTGTTTGTACAAATCTGAACGCCTCGCATTACTGGCTTTTCTACGGCAGCATGTGGTTCTTTTGGTCTTTCCTGGATTTTCTAAAGTTATCTGTGAACTTGATTGTGGCAACATGATGCTGAATGGCTGTACAGTCTTTAAAGAAAAACTTGTGTCTTATAAACCAGTGTCATGGCATCTTGAGGATCAAAACAGCAGAAATGTGGCTGACGACAGCACAGTAACCCAGGAGATTTAATTATGGGTTTAAAAAAAAAAAAGCTTTTATAGAAGAGCTTGGCATGGCTTCAACTCAGCAACAGGTTTTCTCCTCATAATTACACCCAAATACTCTTCCTCAAGGAATATATCACCACATTAAGAAATGCCTAATGTTTCCATGTAAATGCACAACTAACGTTAAGAAAATGTTTACTTTGCCTTGACAGGAAAATTCCACTCAATAGTGAACTGGATCAGCTGATCAGCTGGGGAATCTGACTGATCAATGCTAAAGCTCAGTCGGCAACAGACGTGCAGATGAGTCAAAGGAGAATAAAAGAGGGGAAGTGGGGAATGTGTTGGTGAGGGGCGGAGCTGCAGGAGAAAAGAGATGTTCTAAAGCAACAGGCATCTGAAGGAGAGAAGTGGATTCTTTGCAGCACTGTTCGGTTTCTGTGGATTCAGACTTGGACTCCAGCAATGCAGGATTTGGATGGACACAATTGGAAATGAGCGGAGTGAAAAAAGGTGCAGAGCAGGAAGGAATCTGTGGTGATTTAACTCTGTGTGTGTGTGTGTGAGAATATGTAATGCGTTCCACAAGGCTTCTTCCACGGAAAGTAAAACTGCCCCAGATCTTCCATTACGGGACAGAAAGGCGTGAGAAGCTCAGGACAGAGGCGTGAGACATGGCTAACCTGGGCCGGGCCGGGCCACGCTGCTGGGGCAGTCACAGCCCGGCAGCAGCTGATGTATGCAGGTCACAGGAAGGCCAAGTTGCGTAGGCGCCACTTCCACTGGGACCCATGTGTTGACGTGAGCTCAAGGATGCTTCCCTGCCTCCTCCGTACTCCCTTGACTCTGACCACATTGTTAGGCTCCTGCACAGATGACATGGCTGGTTAGGGTTAGGGAGCTGAGGCCCTGAGAACTTGTGTGACTGTATTTTTCATCTAAGGCACAAGCAGTTGCTTGAAATATGTTTGTGTTGTTTTGGGCACCACAGGCGGAAGCAGTCCTCTCCTTTATAATCTTATTTTTGTTCCGTCTCCTCAGGGAAACATGCCATTTCCAGCTTGCAGCATGCAGAGAGCCAGACCTCCGAGCACATCCTCCCCGAGGCTCTCTGGGTGTGCATGTGTCTTTGCTGGTGGTGCAGCAGGGCTCAAACACCCACGTCCTGCTGCGTGAACCCAGCGCCACCTGTCGCCCAGTCTGGCACTGAACCTGCCATCCGCGCGTCATCTGTGGGCACGAGCCTTTTAGGCCTGTCCAAGCCCTCCTGCATGGCACATCACAGCTTAACTACCGAATCACAGACAACAGTTCTGGCCAGATTATACAAACTCACCACGGGGGTCAGAAACAGAAAATGGAGACACACTGTGGAAGAGCAGGAGCAGTTTCCCATCTTTGCTGCTTCAGTGCTGAAGCAGTGACTGCTGTTTGCAGTCACAATATTCCTGCTGTTTTCAGTGAAAGACTGGAACAAAATGGGATGAACCGCCTCCGTTTCTCCATCCCATCATCTCCTTCCAGAGACCTGCTGGCTGATTAATGCTTATGACGTGCGAGTATTATAGAAAACTAGCCCTATGTGTAATTTTAGGCCACACATTAAACCCAACTTAAAATGTATTGACTGATATTGATGCAGCACTAAAACCTGAACAAGTGAGCATGAGTCACCTGCTGGTGCTCTGGGATCATCTGAGAGTTTAGTGCCACCTGCTGGCAATCAGTGACTCCAGGTTACATGACTCGGAATTCTTATAAATAGTATGTCTGAGCAAAAAATAAATACAATTTAAAGTAATAGAGAAAATAAAATAAAACACAGGCCATTCACAGTATTTATGAGATTAAATACAACTACAGTCTGAACTCTAGTTGTATTTAATCTTATAAATACAAGATGGCTCGGTGGTTAGCACTGTTGCCTCACAGCAAGAAGGTCGCTGGTTCACGTCCCGGTGAGGACACCCGGGATCTTTCTGCGTAGAGTTTGCATGTTCTCCCCGAGCGTGGTCTCCAGCTTCCTCCCACAGTCCAGAAGCATGTTGAGGTTAATTGGTGATTCTAAATTGTCCGTAGGTGTGAATGTGAGCGTGCTTGTCTGTTTGTAAGTGTAGCCCTGTGATAAACTGGTTACCTGTCCATGGACGAGTAAACTGCAGCATTTCAGACACAAACAACATTCAAGAAAGATAAACAATCACAGTCTTGTATTTTTCCATCATTTAAGTCACTACATGGCATCAGGCACTGAAAGAATGCAGCGCTTAATAAACACCTTCATTCTTGATTCAAAGACTAATATTCAGCCTTGGCACTTCGGTACAACTGTCTGTCCATCCATCCTGCAGATGCACCTGCTCGACCTTCAGGGTCACATCATTTTGTAATGTTCTTGTTTTATTGGGCATGTCGGAGGGGTATGATTGGACTGCAGCACACTGAGAGGTTCCTCATGTATGCATACCTGTCGCTAAGCTTACAAACTGGCAGCTCAGAGTAAGATGTTGGGTTGTCAGTCGGGCTCAGAGTCCAGAACTATTGCAGGGAAACGCTGCCCTCCTTCAGCCAGAAGAGAGTACATGTCTCTCAGAACACTGGGGTTGAGGCATTTGGGCCCAGGTGCTGTAGAGGAAAGCTGAGGGGACAGAGAGTCCAACAGAACCTGTCACACAGTAGAAGAGACTGTCAGCACATCACTCTTAGTAGGAGTTTCTGGCTGCCACTCCGCAGCAGACACAGTGTCGTTATTAACACAGTTTGGTAGCAGCTGCTGTAGGAACACAGCTCTTACCTGTTCCAGGTGAATCTCTTGCTGAAGCAGTGCCACCCTCATTCGCAGCTTCTCCAGCTCTTGGAGCTCTGCCTCTGTTGTGTAGGTTACAGTCAGGGGCAGAGGGGCAGTTATCCCATCTCCCCACACACCACTTGCCCCAGTGGGGCAAAGACAACCTCCCTCTGGCCTCCATCGATCCCATGCTTTCCACTCTGACGGAAAATACGGTTATTTTTAGCGCGTGAGCAACCGTACCCTAAAACGTTTTTCTGCTCTGTTGCCTCAGCTTTAAATAACCGGGTCCTTGCTTCGCCACGTCAGGACAGACGGCTTTAAAACCCACCGTCACAGGGAGGGATCTGCCGAGCCAAGGAGAGTACTGATCTGGCACTGAGGTTTCACGGCGGCTCTGTTTTCATTTTCCATGCGCCAAGACGGAGAGGCAGCATTAGCTCGTTAGCGCACTACATTCATCACAATCATTTTTCAAATGCTGTTAAAATGCAATAAATGCTAAATGATTCTCTGGATAATAAAAAGGCTCTGAAATAGAACACTGGAGCTTGAATATGTGAGATGCTAGATTGGACGCATATGTTCACAACACCAGACGGAGGTCTGTGGGCTCAGTAATTACTGGAAACTTCTCTCTCACACTGGCTTTAGCAGCATACTGGTGCTGCACTGGAGCTATAACTGGTCAACATGAACAAATCTGTCTCCCTGAAGGTGACAGGGTCCTCTGAGTGGTGTGAACGGAAAATCTCAGAGCATTCAGCTTCATTATAACTACCGCTGGAGGTCATGGAAAGTGTACCATGTTACATACTGTAGGTACTAACTGAGTGATACAGGACAATTGAAACACACATGGATAAGCAGAGACAAAAACTAAATCAGGATTTCTTCTCCAAAGTGCTCTTCATCAGGAAACTCTGCTGTGTAATGAAGATTTTTTATTATGTGTTTTCTTTGAACCAAAATGAATTGAAATGCATGTTGGAGGGAACAAATGCTTCCGTTTTGTTGTGGTGCAGTGATTCTTACCTCGTTTCACTTGATCTGCAGAGGTTTGGAGCTCCGCTGTTGTCTGCTGCAACCTTTCCAGCACCATACAGGAATCATACTCTTTTTCCCAACCACCTGTACAACATACACAATAAACTAGAATTTTAATGGGAACATTATTGCAGTAAGAAGTGGAGTAGTAGAGTGTTATATTGCACTGTGTTAATACATAATTTGCATTGTGTTTTCATTCACTCTATCGGCAGAGAAAAAGCTTGACACTGATGTATTTATCTGTCTAAATCACTCTCACAGTATCACTCTCTGTTCAGTTTATTATTTCTCACCCACATACTTGTGTCTAATTAGTTTCTCCTGCTTCCTCACAGTCTTGCTAATTTCTGTTCAGGCTTCCTACCCGACTCTGTGGCTGTTTCTTTGGTTCGTCTGGACTGAGCCTCCTTTTCTTGGCTCAGCAGTGTGAGTTCGTGGCCTCGGTGAGTCAGTCTGTCCAGCAGAGCTCTGGTCTGATTGGGTCGACCACTCGGCCACTCGGTGGGAAACTAGACGGGGCAGAAGTTCAGGGTCAGAAAGGACACACTGAGTAGACTGTTTAATAGAGTATGATTCCAGGCTCAACATTACACAACATGGAAAACTTGTCTGATGCCTCACTTTAACTGGCGACACTAGAAAAAGGAAGGATACCAGAGCTCTCATTCTCTCCATGAAGTGACTCCTCCCTGGAACAGGCTTCCTCTGCAGGGCTGTGACTTTGTCCCACAACCTAAACATGATGCAGAGGAGGAAACTTAGTGACAACAGGATTTATTTCCATAATATTACCAGGTTGATTTTAGTCACCTGTTTTGCTTGCTCCTTAAAGATTTCCATTTTACTGCTTGTTCACAGGGGCTCCTGCCATGAATAAAAACATTATTCACCCTTTGAACTGTGAATGACAAAGGCTGGTTGTTTTCACTGTGCAGCTGTGTAGTGTACCCGTTCTGCTGAAGCACACCGCCAGCCCCTGACCTGTGTGGACAAGGCTCTGTGTTACTTGAAGAAGGTGTGGAGACAGAAGCAGCTCTGCTCAGGTCAGCACCGCTCAGCAAGCTGCTTCCAACAGTCTTGCTTTTGGAGAGCGATGCTGACATGTGAGGAGGAGAGCCAGACGCTGAGGCAGCCTGCTGCAGTTTCCTGAAAGCCTGCTGATGCGCAGCCTCAGCTGATGAGGAAGGGTGGCTTTGGATGAGGTTTTTATTATGTGTGCTTTTGGACTGTCCAGGGTTGGAGCTAGCTGAAGGTCTTGAGTTCAGCGCGGAGCATAATCCAAGCTTTTTGTGCCGTTTTCTGTCAAGATTGGCAGATTTAAAGGCTGATTTCATGCTTGTTGGTTGGCTTCCTTTAGCTGCTGCACATGAATGTGTTGCATTCACTGGTGTGACAGATGAAATGCTGTGCTCCTTTCGAGCTCCAGATAGTTTGTTTCCACCAGAATCTTTTTTAGAAGGTTCTGAGCCAGTACGAACCCGAAGGGCTTTCTGCAAAGCTCGCTCAAGCAGTTCTATATCTTCCTTCTCCCCTGGTGAGGCATCAGTGTCTGAAGAGAGCAGCAAACAAAATGTGGATAGTTCAGTGACTTTATTCTTTTTTTTCTCATATCTATTCAATGTTTAGCAACAGCTGAAAATGTAATAAGTAACAAGGGGACATTGCAGTTTTATTTTTAGGTCATCAAGCTGAATTTTCCCAGATGGATCAAAAGGGCTTTTTTTTTTTTTTTTAAATTACCTGTTGCAGCATCTTCTGTTAATTCGGACTCCTCAGAGCTCATCTTGGGTTGTGGGGTTCTGTTGGAAAAGACTTCATGTAACTAAACAGTCAAATTAACCATATGGAGCAAAATCAAGCAAACTAAGACAACAACACAAAGAATGTCATTTAGGATCTACACTGTGCAGCAAATCTGACCCAGAGTTCAAGCTGTCAGTGTTCAAACCTATTACACGATTAATATTGAACTGAAGCTTGAAAAAATTCATCACAAATCAAATCACAGTCACAGGACATATCAGAAAAATCCCAGTTATTGAGGGTGTTAAAGGTGACACAGACATTGAGCTGAAACTTAGTATTCTAACTACTAAGTATTCTAAAAATTCATTAATTGTTTAAAATGATTTAACATGCAGAAAGCCTTTTTTTTTTTTTTGTTAAATGTAAGAATTAGCTGCTTTTCTTAGTCTAACATCATAGTAAATTCAATATAATAGTTGTAGCCCTACTCAAATTACAACGGAAACACTCAACAAAAATATGAAAATCAATGGTCTTTTTTATGATTTATAGAAAAATACAAAAATAAAAATCTAAATTATTTTGTTGTGGTTAGAAAAGGGGTCAGCATTTTTGAACTGTTCCACTGGTGACAGATTCTCAACCTTTAGCCTGGTCAGGTTTAGCTACACAGGACAAAATAAATAAAACGCAGCTCAATTCAAATGACACGATGCTACCGATGACAAGAAAAAGATGAAAACAGGCTGCTGACATACAAAATGCTGACATGTCCGCATTAACCTGAAAGCATCTCTTCCAATATGAATTCTTTTTTCATCCAGCCTACAAAGTGGGGTATGAAAATGAAAAACCTCCCCTTACTAAAAGAAGTGCTTAACAAATGTATTTGACCAACTGTCTAATTTGTTAAGCACTGTTCATATATATATATATATATATATCGACCATCCAGCATCATGATGTGTTTTAATTCACATTCAGCTCTCCATGTTTTACCATTTTGAACAGGAATGAGGAATTTCAAACTGAATTCATCTTTTTATACCCAAATCTGAGCCACTGGGTTTCTCTTAGAAGTCAGAACTTAACCAAGCATCACATTCAACCTCTACAACTCATTTTTCTGTTCGGGAAAGCCAGTAAACAACTATAATTTGACATCTTAATCAAAAAATAACATCTTAATCAAGAAATATTTACATTGGTAGAATCTTCAGAAGTCATTTCATCCTAACTAGAGTAACTAGTAGTCGTTCTTCAACTCACATTAGCGATCTGTTCAAAAACACTACCAAACGTGACAATTAGTCGCATTACAATACTTGTAACATACTGATTTTATTCTGTTTTAACATGATTGTCAACACTGATTCACACTTTTAGTCAGATTATGTGTGGAATGTTTCACGAGACAGGCTTTGTTCTCCATTTAGTACGTGCTTGGAGAAGCTCTTTAACCAAAATTATATTTTCAATGCTAAAATATAACTATTATTGTTATCCATGAATTTTCGAATTTACTGTTTTATAAGAAAACTGAAAGAAATAGTCAAGAGCTTCGACATATTGGTGTATTACCCACTACAGAAACGAAAAAAGAGATAAGAAAGGATTTTGGTAATTACCAACACTGTTAATTTAGAGCAACTGTGGCATAAACCTGACACTGGGTGGTGGTGTAGTAAATTTGTTTAGCACTGTATGCAGCTTGTCAATGTTGGGCACGTTCTTCATTTTTGTGATCAAGCATTTCATATTAAAAATGTATTCTCTCTATAAGTTTAGGGTTCAGTGCGGGAAAAGGCACTGCTGGGATTCGAACCCAGGATCTCCTGTTTACTAGACAGGCGCTTTAACCAACTAAGCCACAGCGCCGGATGGGTGTCAGGGTCACCAGACATCGTTTTTATACTGCTACGCATATTAGTTTTCATTACACTTCATCTTTTTGTGTCTTCAGTAAATGTTTTAACGGGAGCTAACCCTAGTTTATCGGAATAATATGTGGAACGAACAGAACATTAAACCCCTGCAGCGTGATACAACAGCTGGGACAAAGCTCAGACACTTACAGGCTCCGCAGTAGTTCTCTGTAGACTTCAACGCTGTCATTAATCTTTGTTTGTTCGGCCTTGTACAGCTTCACGACCTGCTCAACCGAGGACAGCAGCGACATGTCTGGATGCTTCTCTCCCGTGTCGCCGAACAGACCGTCAAAGTACCGTTTTCAATGCTGGAACAACGTTAAAACTCGACCGAGAAGACAGCATGATATAAAACTGACATTTTTTTTACGGAGACGTTTTTACGCAAAACCAGCGGTTTAAGTTTTGCTTGATGACCCGCCAACTCAAACTCAACGGATGCGGAAGTCACGTTCCACTTTCCTTACTGAAAAAAAAAACAACCAAAAAACATGTTTCATATCATGCTAATTTTCAAAAAGGTAATTAACGCCATGACGCTTGTCTTATTTGTGTGAGTAAACACATAGTGAATGTATAATAAACTAAGCACAAGCAAACAATTTGCAGCTTTACAACGGGGATCCAAATTCTCGCGAGAAGTGTCGTGGTTGCCAGGGACGCATCTTGTCACAACATGGTTAAAACCATAGATGTGTATAATAAAGGCCTTGATTATTACACATCCATGGTTAAAATAAAGTTGCGCCACGATTTGTACATTTAAGATAAAGTAAAACTTTAATCATCCCGATGAAACTCCTATGCCAGATTTTGACATAACATAAGAAAGGCAGTAAATAAAAGTAATAAGATATAATGACAATGCACTGCTTACTAAAATTGGTAAATTAAAATAAGGCTAGAACATAACAGAGGGAATATCACACATGATAAAGACCTAATGCACCTGAAAATGAGATGAACAGAAAAATGATGTCCGTTACACTGACAATGTTGTACATGACAATAAAATATTGCACCTGAGAAATAAAAATATGAAATATTGTACATTAAATGAAATGCTACACGTGATACAGACGCTGATATTGCACAAACTATTGAGAAGCACTATTATGAATGCAAATTGTATTATTGCCTAGATCTAAGTGCCCTATGTTTTAGTGGAAATTGTAGGCTGAGCTGATTTGTTCTAAACTCTGTCTGCACCTTCTACCATCTGATTCACACACTTGACTCATAAATGTGTCATAGTATGTGAATTACAAATGTTAATCAGACCACTGCTCATTATTTTCATAACAAGAATCATTATGTTTTGTAATTATTTTCCCAAGTAGCCCGCTGGCACTTCCACTTTTATATTCCGTTACCCCAGTGAGTGACACTAATTACACTTTTGCAAAGGAGAGCAAACAGAAACAGGGTGTGAGGGACTCTTAGCTAGTTTGCTGTTGATCTGCTACTTTATGTAGTACAATAAAATATTGAGATGAGGAGGAAAATCAGCTCAGTACATAACCAGAGCTCTGCACAACGAAGCAGGATTACATCAAGTTTAACTCTGGTTTTCAGTCCAATTTACTTCTTACCAGGTGCGTCTCCATGGTAACTGATGCTGAACAGCCAACGTGCTGCAGAGCAGGTGATGTTCCAGATAAGGGATCGGTTCTCCTGGAAAATGTCACCAGTTTTAGAAGATCCAGCAGAGCTCAGTGCTCAGATAGTCAGAGGGGAAGATTTGAGTTTTTACAGCTGCGAGTGTTTTCAGAGACATATTGTTCTATCTGCCTTGTAGAGCAACTTAATCCTAAAACAGAAGCTAATTAAAACACTAAAAGGCTTATAGACTGATTGTTGACTGTATACGATTAGCAATAAGCCTATTATCCATTTGAATTATAATTTTCCATTTGTCCTTTACTTATTCCACCAAGCAGCTGAAAGAAGAAGACTTACAGCCATAAAAATGAGGTATAATGTGATATTACTGAATTCCTCATCCACATCACCATGACAATAATTAGATCTTTATTACTGGATTATTTATTTGTTAAATAAAGCAACAACACATGACAGCATCTGTAATTTTCTTATACAACCTTGTGATGCATCGAAAAAAATAAACTGAATCTTGAATAAGAAACCCACGTCTGACAGACTTATACACAAAATGACATTAATAAGCTCATGAATTACGCTGTCAAACAGTCTGGAGGTTTTTGCAGTTTTCCCTCCAGTATTTAGCTGCAGCAGCATGTTGTGGGTCTACAGTTTAATTATCAGGCAGATAAACAAATGGTCTTGATGTACACAGGTTTGTTCTTAACAGACATCTTTGCATATCAAGCTCAGGTGCAATTAATACCATTAATGATGCTGCATTCCATTTATGTGTGTGGGATCTCAGATATTGTGCACGCTGGTGTGCTGGAAAACTGGATGTCATTAGCTCCAATGTTCATGCGCAGTCTGGACATCAAACATTATAGCTGTTTACCTCCATGTTAGTAAAAATGAAGCAAGGACTAAATATCTGCATCAGTGTGACAGCGTTCCCATGAAGATACAAGTCAAGAGACACAACCAGGAATAGCAGCTAGCTGGTTAAGCTCAACACTTCCTTCAGCCTGTCTGTCATGAGCCCAATATGGATTTTTTTTTTTTTTTTTGCAGCAGGTGCTTTGAAATGTCACATCAGAAACAGCACAGGTGTGTAAACTCGGCAGAGGCCTGGCTCCTGAGCATGCTGGAACGAAGCTGCCTTTTTTCTTCAGTGTAAAGGACCTGTTAACATTTGGTAACCAGGAAACAGCTAATAAAAGAGGATTTTTATTTAGATTTCATAAACATGAAAAAATTTGTTTATTAGTTTACAAGTCAAACTTTGCAAATGAGGTGTGAGACACAAAGGAACAAGGGACTGCTGGTATACTGATATAAATGTTTTGGCTGGATTCATGTGTCTGATGTTGTTTTTTCGTCCTGTCAAAAGTCTGTGTATCTGATTCAATCATGTTTATCTTTATAATCTGGTTACTAATCAGATTATCTATTGTGGAGCTGAGCTGCAGGCCGCTCCCTCTCTGCCTGAGTGCATCAGGTCTGGGTGTGGCTCCCAGCTGCAGCCAGCTTATTAAGTGCACCAGGTGGAGGTGATCTGGTGATCAGCAAGAGGTTTGGTGGCATTCACAGAAAGCACAGCGAGGAATGAGCAGTGCGAGGACGATAGCTGGAGAGTCTGGACCAAGAGAAGGAAACTGCAAGATCAAGGCTTGGTTTGGAGAAGGAAGAAGGAGCCAGTGAGGTTGCATCTTGCATTAGAGTTGTTGTGTGCAGTGGACTAGTCATGTGCTGAATTCGGGCTAAAACGTAATGTATTTAAAAAAAAAGTCGTGTGATTAAAATGTTCTATATTTAATATCACGTGGGTAAAAGTGCAGTTAAAAATGTGGTGTATTTTAAAAGCTTATGGTAATTTGCTAAATGTGATTATTGTATATTTATGGAAGTTAAAAGCTGCTAAAATTGTGTGATAAAATCATCATTGCACAGTGCTTTAAAAAGTGTTTAACTAATTCTGGGTGCTTTAAATATGGGAATTTTTATACTTTCAGGGTTAATTTCTAGTAGATTAAAAATTATTTGATTTTGGCTATGTTCATTGGTTGTGGTTTCTTGGGTTACATTTGCTTGAACTTCTTTGTGCTTGTGTTTAAGGTTTTTCACCTGTATTGGCCTCGAAGACTTTCAAAAATAAAAGGAC